AGCAGATTTGTAGTCGAAAATGTTAAAAAGTAGTAACTTTTGCACTTAATTGCATCATTAATTAACTGTTTCATTGAAATAATGTTAAAGAAATTTTTTGTAATGTTTTATTGATTTAAGAACATTCGCACATATTGCTTTGTCAGTTTGAGGAATTTCTGTGAAGTTCTAGCAGATTTGTAGTCGAAAATGTTAAAAAGTAGCTACTTTTGCACTTAATTGCATCATTAATTTACTGTTTCTTTGAAATAATGTTAAACAAACTTTTCGTCATGTTTTATTGATTTTAGATCATTTGCACAAATTGCTTTGTCAGTTTGAGCAACTTTTGTGAAGTTCTAGCAGATTTGTAGTCGAAAATGTTAAAAAGTAGCTACTTTTGCACTTAATTGCATCATTAATTAACTGTTTCTTTGAAATAATGTTAAACAAATTTTTCGTCATGTTTTATTGATTTAAGATCATTTGCACAAATTGCTTTGTCAGTTTGAGCAATTTCTGTGAAGTTCTAGCAGATTTGTAGTCGAAAATGTTAAAAAGTAGCTACTTTTGCACTTAATTGCATCATTAATTAACTGTTTCTTTGAAATAATGTTAAACAAATTTTTCGTCATGTTTTATTGATTTAAGATCATTTGCACAAATTGCTTTGTCAGTTTGAGCAATTTCTGTGAAGTTCTAGCAGATTTGTAGTCGAAAATGTTAAAAAGTAGCTACTTTTGCACTTAATTGCATCATTAATTTACTGTTTCTTTGAAATAATGTTAAACAAATTTTTCGTCATGTTTTATTGATTTAAGAACATTTGCACAAATTGCTTTGTCAGTTTGAGCAATTTCTGTGAAGTTCTGGCAGATTTGTAGTCGAAAATGTTAAAAAGTAGCTACTTTTGCACTTAATTGTATCATTAATTTACTGTTTCTTTGAAATAATGTTAAACAAACTTTTCGTCATGTTTTATTGATTTTAGATCATTTGCACAAATTGCTTTGTCAGTTTGAGCAACTTTTGTGAAGTTCTAGCAGATTTGTAGTCGAAAATGTTAAAAAGTAGCTACTTTTGCACTTAATTGCATCATTAATTAACTGTTTCTTTGAAATAATGTTAAACAAATTTTTCGTCATGTTTTATTGATTTAAGATCATTTGCACAAATTGCTTTGTCAGTTTGAGCAATTTCTGTGAAGTTCTAGCAGATTTGTAGTCGAAAATGTTAAAAAGTAGCTACTTTTGCACTTAATTGCATCATTAATTAACTGTTTCTTTGAAATAATGTTAAACAAATTTTTCGTCATGTTTTATTGATTTAAGATCATTTGCACAAATTGCTTTGTCAGTTTGAGCAATTTCTGTGAAGTTCTAGCAGATTTGTAGTCGAAAATGTTAAAAAGTAGCTACTTTTGCACTTAATTGCATCATTAATTTACTGTTTCTTTGAAATAATGTTAAACAAATTTTTCGTCATGTTTTATTGATTTAAGATCATTTGCACAAATTGCTTTGTCAGTTTGAGCAATTTCTGTGAAGTTCTAGCAGATTTGTAGTCGAAAATGTTAAAAAGTAGCTACTTTTGCACTTAATTGCATCATTAATTTACTGTTTCTTTGAAATAATGTTAAGCAAATTTTTCGTCATGTTTTATTGATTTAAGAACATTTGCACAAATTGCTTTGTCAGTTTGAGCAATTTCTGTGAAGTTCTAGCAGATTTGTAGTCGAAAATGTTAAAAAGTAGCTACTTTTGCACTTAATTGCATCATTAATTTACTGTTTCTTTGAAATAATGTTAAGCAAATTTTTCGTCATGTTTTATTGATTTAAGAACATTTGCACAAATTGCTTTGTCAGTTTGAGCAATTTCTGTGAAGTTCTAGCAGATTTGTAGTCGAAAATGTTAAAAAGTAGCTACTTTTGCACTTAATTGTTTCATTAATTTACTGTTTCTTTGAAATAATGTTAAGCAAATTTTTCGTCATGTTTTATTGATTTAAGAACATTTGCACAAATTGCTTTGTCAGTTTGAGCAATTTCTGTGAAGTTCTAGCAGATTTGTAGTCGAAAATGTTAAAAAGTAGCTACTTTTGCACTTAATTGCATCATTAATTTACTGTTTCTTTGAAATAAAGTTAAACAAATTTTTTGTCATGTTTTATTGATTTAAGATCATTTGCACAAATTGCTTTGTCAGTTTGAGCAATTTCTGTGAAGTTCTAGCAGATTTGTAGTCGAAAATGTTAAAAAGTAGCTACTTTTGCACTTAATTGTTTCATTAATTTACTGTTTCTTTGAAATAATGTTAAACAAATTTTTCGTCATGTTTTATTGATTTAAGAACATTTGCACAAATTGCTTTGTCAGTTTGAGCAATTTCTGTGAAGTTCTAGCAGATTTGTAGTCGAAAATGTTAAAAAGTAGCTACTTTTGCACTTAATTGCATCATTAATTTACTGTTTCTTTGAAATAATATTAAACAATTTTTTGGTCATGTTTTATTGATTTAAAATCATTTGCACAAATTGCTTTGTCAGTTTGAGCAATTTCTGTGAAGTTCTAGCAGATTTGTAGTCGAAAATGTTAAAAAGTAGCTACTTTTGCACTTAATTGCATCATTAATTTACTGTTTCTTTGAAATAAAATTAAACAAATTTTTTGTCATGTTTTATTGATTTAAGATCATTTGCACAAATTGCTTTGTCAGTTTGAGCAATTTCTGTGAAGTTCTAGCAGATTTGTAGTCGAAAATGTTAAAAAGTAGCTACTTTTGCACTTAATTGCATCATTAATTTACTGTTTCTTTGAAATAAAGTTAAACAAATTTTTTGTCATGTTTTATTAATTTAAGAACATTTGCACAAATTGCTTTGTCAGTTTGAGCAATTTCTGTGAAGTTCTGGCAGATTTGTATTCGAAAATGTTAAAAAGTAGCTACTTTTGCACTTAATTGCATCATTAATTTACTGTTTCTTTGAAATAATGTTAAACAATTTTTTGGTCATGTTTTATTGATTTAAGATCATTTGCACAAATTGCTTTGTCAGTTTGAGCAATTTCTGTGAAGTTCTAGCAGATTTGTAGTCGAAAATGTTAAAAAGTAGCTACTTTTGCACTTAATTGCATCATTAATTTACTGTTTCTTTGAAATAATGTTAAACAATTTTTTGGTCATGTTTTATTGATTTAAGATCATTTGCACAAATTGCTTTGTCAGTTTGAGCAATTTCTGTGAAGTTCTAGCAGATTTATAGTCGAAAATGTTAAAAAGTAGCTACTTTTGCACTTAATTGCATCATTAATTTACTGTTTCTTTGAAATAATGTTAAACATATTTTTTGTCATGTATTATTGATTTAAGATCATTCGCACAAATTGCTTTGTCAGTTTGAGGAATTTCTGTGAAGTTCTAGCAGATTTGTAGTCGAAAATGTTAAAAAGTAGCTACTTTTGCACTTAATTGCATCATTAATTTACTGTTTCTTTTAAATAATGTTAAACAAATTTTTTGTCATGTTTTATTGATTTAAGATCATTCGCATAAATTGCTTTGTCAGTTTGAGCAATTTCTGTGAAGTTCTAGCAGATTTATAGTCGAAAATGTTAAAAAGTAGCTACTTTTGCACTTAATTGCATCATTAATTTCTGATACGTTCAATTCATGTTCGACAGACTTATCGAAAGTCTAGGGGTGTTTTAATATGCACGTTCGAAAAATTTAAATTTGAAAAACCGTTACAATTTTTTGTTATTTTATTCAAGTTTTTGATAGTTTTGAAAACAGATTTACCTATATTATGCTTATTATCAAATGATAAAATAATATATTCATCAAAAATTCGTGAAAAAATTGCTTAATTTAAGTTTTTATTTTTTCCTAATTTTCGAAAATTTGGAATTGCAGGGTATGAAACTTCGAATTTTGCATCGCAGACAGACAAATAAGACATTTTTGCAAGTGTTGTTGGAAACTGTAACGGTCGAAACTCTTGAATTGTTCGTATCAGATTAATTTACTGTTTCTTTGAAATAATGTTAAACATATTTTTGTCATGTATTATTGATTTAAGATCATTCGCACAAATTGCTTTGTCAGTTTGAGGAATTTCTGTGAAGTTCTAGCAGATTTGTAGTCGAAAATGTTAAAAAGTAGCTACTTTTGCACTTAATTGCCTCATTAATTTACTGTTTCTTTGAAATAATGTTAAACAAATTTTTCGTCATGTTTTATTGATTTAAGATCATTTGCACAAATTGCTTTGTCAGTTTGAGCAATTTCTGTGAAGTTCTAGCAGATTTGTAGTCGAAAATGTTAAAAAGTAGCTACTTTTGCACTTAATTGCATCATTAATTTACTGTTTCTTTGAAATAATGTTAAACAAATTTTTTGTCATGTTTTATTGATTTAAGATCATTCGCACAAATTGCTTTGTCAGTTTGAGCAATTTCTGTGAAGTTCTAGCAGATTTGTAGTCGAAAATGTTAAAAAGTAGCTACTTTCCCACGTAACCAAAATCGACCTTTGTTGAAAATCGACGTAAATGGAACATTATATGTACTATTTAAAATTTTAATATCAATTGCACAGAAATAATTTACATGTCCTTTATTTCAATAATTTTCATCGCATCATTCGTTTTTAAGCTAAATAAATCCATTCTTCATATCTTAAATGTGTTTTTAACTTGATTTCATATCAATTATTTAATTATTGACCCAAAAATTTTCATAAAAAAAAAAGTCATCCATGCATGTGCTATTATTTGTACATCGTATGGAAAACACCACATTTTTGTCCTCTCCTTAAAGCAGTCAACACATAAAAGTTATTAAGACGTAATATTGTTAATTTTTAATTGATTTGAGTAAGTAAAACGTGTAGCTTGAATTAAATTGTTAAAAAGGTATGTAAAATCATAGTGGATAAAGAATTATTAATAAAAAAAGTGCATAAAACTAGTAAAATAAGTGAAAATGTGAAAATTTGATTATATTTTTTTTTTGTGTTATAATGGGAAAACCAAAAGATCCAAGAAAGTTAAGCGAAAAGGACTTTAAAAGAAGAGCTACATTTTTCATTAAAAAGACAAAAGAAAAAATCCAGAAAAAATCAGCTAGTTTTACAAGATTTTCTAATATTAGTGAAACACGTGACAAAAAATATCAAAATCATGCATTTGATGAGCATTATAATGACTATCTTCAGGAAGAATTTATTAAAAATACACAAGAACAACACTTAAGTGATTCAAGTGAATCCGAATATGAAGAAAATTTACATACAAATGATGAGTGTGAAATGCAAAATAATAAAGAAGTATACGAACTTAGTTTACACGATTTTCTTCGCGTTTGCTCAGTGCATCACAATATAAATAGAAATGCTCTAAATCCACTTCTTAAATACCTTCAAAGATTAGATAAAACGCTTCCTTCTGACTATCGTTCCCTTTTAAAGACACCACGTGTAGCTATTTTAAAAGATATTCATCCTGGTCAGTATATACACATGAGTTTGAGAAGAAACATAGATATGTATTTAAGAGAAAAAGAAGAAATACCAAAAGATATCAAAATACGAATAAACGTTGATGGACTTCCAATTTTTAAAGACTCTGCCAAGTGTCCAGCATTTTGGATTATTCAAGCTGACATTATAAACGATAAAAAAAAAAAGCCATTTATAGTTGGAGTTTACGGTGGAAAAACGAAGCCTCAGTCATTCAATGAGTTTTTGACTGAAACAGTCGAGGAACTAAAGGAATTGAAAAACTTAAATTATAAAGGCACAGACATAAGTTTAAAAGTTGTTCAACTTCTCGCAGACGCACCAGCGAAATCAGAAACTCTCAATATAAAAGGTCATAACGGCTACTTCTCTTGCACTAAATGCGAGGTAAAAGGAAAGTTTATTAATGGTAAAATGTCATATTTTGACTTGGAAGCTCCTCTCCGAACTGATACGTCATTCAGACTACAAGAAAATCCTGAACATCATGAAGGAAAATCGATTTTGGAAGAATTAAACTATTTTAACATGATTGAGAATGTTCCTTTGGACTACATGCACATAGTGCTATTAGGTGTGATGAAGAAATTGTTAAAAATGTGGTTTGTAGATACTGGAAAATTTAAACACTCACAAATTGATAAAGAAAAAATATCTGAACGAATAAAAACAATTAATGAAACACAACCAAATGATTTTCAACGTAAACTCAGATCATTAACATTCATTCCGCGATACAAAGCATCTGAACTAAGAAGTTTTCTTCTTTACTATGGTCCTATAGTGCTCAAGCATATCTTAAGAATTGATCTATATGAAAATTTCATGAAATTTCACGTTGCAATGAAAATTTGTGCAAATCAAAAATTCTACACGATGAATACATTAACACAAAAGTTAATTGATGAATTCATTATCGAAATGGCTGAGATTTATGGAGAACATGAGATTGTTCATAATGTACATGCTTTACATCATATACCCAAAGAATGTGAGATTAGAGGTGTGTTGGATAACTTCAGTTGCTTTGAATTTGAGAATAACATGAGTCTTATTAAAAAATCAATACATACGTCCAAAAATCCTATGCAGCAACTGCAAAACAGAATTGCAGAAATAAATTCAATAAGTCACCTCCCAGCTTTCATCGACCGTTATTCTACATTAAACAATGGTATTGTTGATAATTACAATGCGACATTCAACGGTTATAAGTTTTCGACCAATCAACGTGACTGCTATGCATTAGTTGGAAATAAAGCCTTCAAAATAAGATCATTCTTTAAGAAAGAAAGTGTGTCATACGCAAAAGGACAATTTTTCAAAAAGTACAACAATATATATAACGATCCAATTAACTCATCATTTATTGACATTTTCTGCGCAGATTATCTTGACAAAAAATTATCTATAATCGAAATCAATAATATAAATTCAAAATTATTTTACATGAACATAAATTTCAAATTAAATAACGGAAAAATGACTAATTACTTATTTTTTTCCTTAAATCATTAAGAATGTACTATACGGTGTTGTTTAAAGATACAAATGCTATCGGAACTGTTAAAGAAGATTGGCTAATTAACGAGCAGCAATGTAAATATCCACCAAATAAGCAAGTCAACAAATTTTTAAAGTCCAATGCAAAATGTGACACATCAAAGTGGAATGTTTACAAAATTGTCTTAAAAAATCCCAAGCAGTTAGGTCAAAAAGGTGTTGCAACTATACAATTGTCAAAGGAAATGGAGAGATTCTATGAAAGATTTAGTGACACAGAAGATTACGAGAGCACCAGAGTCAAACAGAACTTATTAAAGCTTCATCCAACAATAAAACTCCAAAACAAAATCAATTTTAATGAATTTGTGCCTATTGAAGTCCAGGTAATATGTCGTATTTAGCCAGTATTATTTAATGTTTTAATTTATTTAATGTCCTTAAAAGTCGAGTGCTGCTTTACAGCATACATTTTCATCGGAGCTTATAACTCATCAAATAGAAGATCCAGAACAAAATGAAGATCCAGACCAAAATGAAGATCCAGAACAATATACAACTGATAACGTGAATGAAACACAAGAAGAAAATTACAGCGAACAACGGTACCAAATTGAGTATCTCGAGGAAGCATTTCCAGACGAAGAGGCTGAATATATAAGAGACATTACAGAGGTAATATTTTAAATGTATAGACATACAAGTATAGTAATTCGTTTCATTTTATTAATTGATTTTCTAGGACACTTTTCTTGTCAAACATCGTCCAGTTCAGAAATGATGGCTGTATGTCAGGAAATTTTGAGGAATATATCTATGATTAACGATAAAATAGCATCAATTGGTAAACGTCTCACTAAAATTGAACTGCATATTTTGAGAAAGGTGGATTTGAAGGACTTTGAAATTAGTGTCATAAAAGATTTAAAGGAACTAAAACAATTCCTTAAGACGGTCAATGATGATGGTGAATTTCGACAAAAATTGGTAATATTTTGCTCTTTTTTAAGTAAAAGCTGATGGAAATTAAAAACGAATTTTCTCAATATTTCAGATATATTTTTTGTATCTAAATTGTACCAACGGAAAAGCCAAATTTTATTACAACGGCGTTGTTAAGAAAATTCTGAAACTGGTTTTTAGTGAGGAGTTTTTAAATGTTCTTGGGTGGTCAACAGAAAAATCATCGGCTAGGTAATATTGATTCAAATTGCTATAATTCTGTAATAAAGCAATTTATATTGTTTCAGCACTTCATCCCAAGACCATCGCATCCTTTTGTGTCAATTTAAGAATTTTCAAAGCATTTGTCTCGATGTTTTAAATTATCACAACCCTAATCCTCCTTATATATTGGACGACGTCGCTGCAGGCTTAAAGGAGTTCTTTAAACGTTTAGTTCGTTATTAAAGTAACTTAAAATTGGAAAAAAGTCATAAGAGATTAGAAAATTTATGATTTTATATATGCTTAATTAATTAATTGTTGCTATTTTGTGAGGTTTATGAATTATTACTTATGTTGTTTTTTCACTTCTTCTCATTTAAATTGATGATTATTCCTTAAAATTCCAATTTTATGCCTGTTGATAAATTTACAATATATTGTTGCCGTTATTGATCAAATTTGAATTCCACAAGAATCAGTAGGCTTAAAATATGAATTTTTAAAAGTCGTTATGAGTTCGAAAAAGCTTCAATTAAATTACATAAATTAGATCTTCAAATAATATAAAAAATTAATGTACAAAAGCGTTGTAATGTACATTATTGAACGGAAAATATGAAAATAAAATTACATTCATCTTAGTTTTTACAACAAGCAAAATATTTTAAATTTTTGGATTAATTAAATATTCCTGTTTTCTCCATGTATGTCGATTATTGAAAGTTTTTTATAACGGTCAAAAAAAATTGAATTAGGTTTCGTTTAAAACGGCAAAAAAAATTTTGAATTTGGTTTATTTTATAAGAGTCAAAAAAAATTTGAATTTGGTTCAAAAAAATAATCGACGTAAAATCGACTAAAAATCGTCCCTTTTCATATTAGCATAGTTTCCAATGTACGATACCACAATGATTCAGATTTGAAAAAAATGTTCAAAAATTCAAAAATAACAAGTTAATTAAACTATATGTTTTAAATGCCAGATTAAAGAACATGATGTGTTTTATGTTCTGTAAAAATATCACATTCCAATTTGTTGTCTAATTCACAAAAATTCGATTTTAAGATGCCAATAAATTTGTTTACAAAATGACAACAAATATTTTTCTTAAATTTTTTCTCCTTTCCACTTCAAATTTCTTGTTTTAATCCTGATAACCAGCTTAATTAAGCTTAGTACTTTGTGTTTGTGTGAAGAAACCAAAAGAAAACCTATTAATTGGGCGAATATACATGATTAATTTTTTTGAAATTTACCAAGACTTTAAACACTCATAAGTTAAATTCGCGTCTTTCCGCTTCTACCAAACCTATTTAAATATAAAGAACAAAGTCTAATTAACCTTCCATATTAATGTGTACATGCCCAAATATGCCCGAAGCGAGATATTTGCGATTGAAAATTAGTTAATTTTTCATACAAATTACTATCGTGCGCCAAATTTTTTGATAAACATTTGTGAAATTTGTAAAAAAAAACTTATTTATCCTCAATTTCATGACTTAATATTTTGAGGAATCAATAATCAAGTAAGATTAAAGGCATTAAAAGTCCTAAACTAGAGAATATCAATAAAAAATTTCATTACTTCAATGTGTCTGAAAAATATTATGCACAAGGATTATTTGAACATTTTTTTCAAATCTGAATCATTGTGGATACATGGAATGTACATATGGAACATACATGGAAGATTTTGATGTAATACATAAAATCTTCCATTCGTCGACTTATGGTTACGTGGGTTTGCACTTAATTGCATCATTAATTTACTGTTTCTTTGAAATAATGTAAAACAAATTTTTTGTCATGTTTTATTGATTTAAGATCATTCGCATAAATTGCTTTGTCAGTTTGAGGAATTTCTGTGAAGTTCTAGCAGATTTGTAGTCGAAAATGTGAAATAGTAGCTACTTTTGCACTTAATTGCATCATTAATTTACTGTTTCTTTGAAATAATGTTAAACAAATTTTTTGTCATGTTTTATTGATTTAAGATCATTCGCATAAATTGCTTTGTCAGTTTGAGCAATTTCTGTGAAGTTCTAGCAGATTTGTAGTCGAAAATGTTTAAAAGTAGCTACTTTTGCACTTAATTGCATCATTAATTTACTGTTTCTTTGAAATAATGTTAAACATATTTTTTGTCATGTTTTATTGATTTAAGATCATTTTCACAAATTGCTTTGTCAGTTTGAGGAATTTCTGTGAAGTTCTAGCAGATTTGTAGTCGAAAATGTTAAATAGTAGCTACTTTTGCACTTAATTGCATCATTAATTTACTGTTTCTTTGAAATAATGTTAAACAAATTTTTTGTCATGTTTTATTGATTTAAGATCATTCGCATAAATTGCTTTGTCAGTTTGAGCAATTTCTGTGAAGTTCTAGCAGATTTGTAGTCGAAAATGTTTAAAAGTAGCTACTTTTGCACTTAATTGCATCATTAATTTACTGTTTCTTTGAAATAATGTTAAACATATTTTTTGTCATGTTTTATTGATTTAAGATCATTTTCACAAATTGCTTTGTCAGTTTGAGGAATTTCTGTGAAGTTCTAGCAGATTTGTAGTCGAAAATGTTAAAAAGTAGCTACTTTTGCACTTAATTGCATCATTAATTTACTGTTTCTTTGAAATAATGTTAAACATATTTTTTGTCATGTTTTATTGATTTAAGATCATTTTCACAAATTGCTTTGTCAGTTTGAGGAATTTCTGTGAAGTTCTAGCAGATTTGTAGTCGAAAATGTTTAAAAGTAGCTACTTTTGCACTTAATTGCATCATTAATTTACTGTTTCTTTGAAATAATGTTAAACATATTTTTTGTCATGTTTTATTGATTTAAGATCATTCGCACAAATTGCTTTGTCAGTTTGAGCAATTTCTGTGAAGTTCTGGCAGATTTGTAGTCGAAAATGTTAAAAAGTAGCTACTTTTGCACTTAATTGCATCATTAATTTACTGTTTCTTTGAAATAATGTTAAACATATTTTTTGTCATGTCTTATTGATTTAAAAACATTTGCACAAATTGCTTTGTCAGTTTGAGCAATTTCTGTGAAGTTCTCGCAGATTTGTAGTCGAAAATGTTAAAAAGTAGCTACTTTTGCACTTAATTGTATCATTAATTTACTGTTTCTTTGAAATAATGTTAAACAAATTTTTTGTCATGTTTTATTGATTCAAGATCATTTGCACAAATTGCTTTGTCAGTTTGAGGAATTTCTGTGAAGTTCTAGCAGATTTGTAGTCGAAAATGTTAAAAAGTAGCTACTTTTGCACTTAATTGTATCATTAATTTACTGTTTCTTTGAAATAATGTTAAACAAATTTTTTGTCATGTTTTATTGATTCAAGATCATTTGCACAAATTGCTTTGTCAGTTTGAGGAATTTCTGTGAAGTTCTAGCAGATTTGTAGTCGAAAATGTTAAAAAGTAGCTACTTTTGCACTTAATTGCATCATTAATTTACTGTTTTTTTGAAATAAAGTTTAACAAATTTTTTGTAATGTTTTATTGATTTAAGAACATTTGCACAAATTGCTTTGTCAGTTTGAGCAATTTCTGTGAAGTTCTAGCAGATTTGTAGTCGAAAATGTTAAAAAGTAGCTACTTTTGCACTTAATTGCATCATAAATTCACTGTTTTTTTGAAATAAAGTTTAACAAATTTTTTGTAATGTTTTATTGATTTAAGAACATTTGCACAAATTGCTTTGTCAGTTTGAGCAATTTCTGTGAAGTTCTAGCAGATTTGTAGTCGAAAATGTTAAAAAGTAGCTACTTTTGCACTTAATTGCATCATAAATTCACTGTTTTTTTGAAATAAAGTTTAACAAATTTTTTGTAATGTTTTATTGATTTAAGAACATTTGCACAAATTGCTTTGTCAGTTTGAGCAATTTCTGTGAAGTTCTAGCAGATTTGTAGTCGAAAATGTTAAAAAGTAGCTACTTTTGCACTTAATTGCATCATTAATTTACTGTTTCTTTGAAATAATGTTAAACATATTTTTTGTCATGTCTTATTGATTCAAGATCATTTGCACAAATTGCTTTGTCAGTTTGAGGAATTTCTGTGAAGTTCTAGCAGATTTGTAGTCGAAAATGTTAAAAAGTAGCTACTTTTGCACTTAATTGCATCATTAATTTACTGTTTCTTTGAAATAAAGTTAAACAAATTTTTTGTCATGTTTTATTGATTTAAGATCATTTGCACAAATTGCTTTGTCAGTTTAAGCAATTTCTGTGAAGTTCTAGCAGATTTGTAGTCGAAAATGTTAAAAAGTAGCTACTTTTGCACTTAATTGCATCATTAATTTACTGTTTCTTTGAAATAATGTTAAACATATTTTTTGTCATGTCTTATTGATTTAAAAACATTTGCACAAATTGCTTTGTCAGTTTGAGCAATTTCTGTGAAGTTCTCGCAGATTTGTAGTCGAAAATGTTAAAAAGTAGCTACTTTTGCACTTAATTGCATCATAAATTCACTACATCATGCAATAATGTTATATAAAATTTTTTGTAATGTTTTATTGATTTAAGAACATTCGCACAAATTCCTTTGTCAGTTTGAGCAATTTCTGTGAAGTTCTAGCAGATTTGTAGTCGAAAATGTTAAAAAGTAGCTACTTTTGCACTTAATTGTATCATTAATTTACTGTTTCTTTGAAATAATGTTAAACAAATTTTTTGTCATGTTTTATTGATTCAAGATCATTTGCACAAATTGCTTTGTCAGTTTGAGCAATTTCTGTGAAGTTCTAGCAGATTTGTAGTCGAAAATGTTAAAAAGTAGCTACTTTTGCACTTAATTGCATCATTAATTTACTGTTTTTTTGAAATAAAGTTTAACAAATTTCTTGTAATGTTTTATTGATTTAAGAACATTTGCACAAATTGCTTTGTCAGTTTGAGCAATTTCTGTGAAGTTCTAGCAGATTTGTAGTCGAAAATGTTAAAAAGTAGCTACTTTTGCACTTAATTGCATCATTAATTTACTGTTTCTTTGAAATAATGTTAAACATATTTTTTGTCATGTCTTATTGATTTAAGATCATTCGCATAAATTGCTTTGTCAGTTTGAGGAATTTCTGTGAAGTTCTAGCAGATTTGTAGTCGAAAATGTGAAATAGTAGCTACTTTTGCACTTAATTGCATCATTAATTTACTGTTTCTTTGAAATAATGTTAAACAAATTTTTTGTCATGTTTTATTGATTTAAGATCATTCGCATAAATTGCTTTGTCAGTTTGAGCAATTTCTGTGAAGTTCTAGCAGATTTGTAGTCGAAAATGTTTAAAAGTAGCTACTTTTGCACTTAATTGCATCATTAATTTACTGTTTCTTTGAAATAATGTTAAACATATTTTTTGTCATGTTTTATTGATTTAAGATCATTTTCACAAATTGCTTTGTCAGTTTGAGGAATTTCTGTGAAGTTCTAGCAGATTTGTAGTCGAAAATGTTAAATAGTAGCTACTTTTGCACTTAATTGCATCATTAATTTACTGTTTCTTTGAAATAATGTTAAACAAAT